CAGTGACTCAGTCAACTTTTGGAAACAGTTGTTAGTGATCCAATCACCTCCAGTGTGCTTTAGCTGCCCCGAGTTAGGGTCTATGTGATCACGGTAGAAGCTGGGCGGAGGCCACTTGCCAGGGAGACAGGCCTACCACAGTGTGTGGCCTGTGGGAACTACTTCCCACCACACTCCTTTCTGGAGGCCACGTGGAAGCTAATTCTATCAAACTGTGACCTGCTTTCAGGAAGTCTCCAAGCAGTCACCTTCAAGTTGAGAAAGCACCACAAGCAAGGAAATGTTTGCGTGAGTCGGCCATTCCCTGAGGAAGACACCGAGGTGAATGAGCTTGCTTCAAGCACTAAGATCACATCCCATGATCCCAACATACCACCACCACCACCACCGCACCCCGCTGCCTGATCCACCTGCTGGCAGTTTCTTGAGTCTGTTAAGTGTACCATAGAACTTTCTGATGTCAAAGAGTGAGAACCATTGGCTGGACTGGTCTGTGCCAGGCATGAAGTGCTTCTTTCAGGGAAGGTGATACAATGCCTCCCACCTATGCTTGGTGACAGTGTGTTTTAGTGAACACAGGGCACACAATGCCACCTTCATCTGCATGGGCTCCGTGGAGCTATGGGAGGACTCCCCTGTGCCACCTGCACTTTAAGTCCCTGTAGTGAAGTGGTACAGATATCTGGGCACAGATTCCCTGGATTAATATGGAATGTTCATTTCCCCAAAATTCCACAGAAGCCCGCCGTTGTTACACACAGATCCCAAGGGAAGAATGAGACAAAATGTCGGGCAAAGAATCTTAGCATTTACTCGTATTTCCAGGGCGAGGGTGTCTTGGTGTCAAAGCAAAAATACTTGCAACACTGTGAGCAGGGTTTTGTCTGTCCACGTTCTCCTCCCAAGTGATGTCACTAACCACTGCAGGGACAGGGCTGCAGGGCATCAGAAAGTGTGCCAGTTGTGTGGAGGCTCTGGAAGGGACAGAGCTTCAGGATTCATGTAAGACGCAATTATCCATGTGGCTAGTCTAGCCTTTTATCTGGCCTGCCACTCTGCCATCTGGTCATAGGGTCTGCCTCCTGTCCTGCCGTTCAATATTGCTCCAGGCCTGGAAGGTCTTATGGACAGCCCAACCTTTGACCTTTTCTCCCTATATTTCTGGCATATGCCTACATGTGTTAAATCCTTTCAACTCTGTCTCATTAATATTCCCACTAACTGCTCTACCCACCATGCTTTTGTTTCCATTTCCCCTCGAAGTCCCCAAGAGATTTCAGGCAAGAAACATTCAAAAGATCCCTTCCTCCTGAACCCCAATGCAATTGCCTCTTCCTTTCCTGCAGGTTTTCTCTTTCCGCTGAGATCTCACTAACACTCGGCAGCCTCCATTCCTTTTGGAGGGGGGTCAAGTGAAAACTCGGGACTTGGCATCATCCAGAGATGTAAGGAAATCACTCTGATAACAGAGTAGGCTTGCAGTTCCTCATACTGGAAGAAGCACTGGAGTCTGTTACTTCAGAAAAAGACCGGCAGGGTTATTGGCGCGTTTTTGTGGTAAAATGATGCCCCGTAGTAAAAAACAAAGGACAGAGTGACACTGAGGTAAGGGAACCTTCTGGGTTGTGTGTGGTGGTATTGTGTTCCCCAAAATATTGTGCACGCTAATAAACTTATCTGGGGTCAGAGACAGGACAGCCACAATATTAAACATAGAAGTTAGGCAGTGGTAGCACACACCTTTAATCCTAGCATCCCAGAGGCAGAAATAAATCCATGTGTTCAAGGATACAGAAAGGCATAGTGACTCGCCACGCCTTTAATCCCAGAAAGCAAGCCTTTAATCCCAGGGAGTGGTGGTAGAAAGCAGAAAGGTATATAAGGCGTGAGGACCAGAAACTAGAAGCATTTGGCTGGTTAAGCATTCAGGCTTTCGAGCAGTAATTCAGCTGAGATTCATTCCGGATGAGGACTCAGAGGCCTCCAGTCTGAGGAGACAAGATCAGCTGAGGATCCGGCGAGGTGAGATAGCTGTGGCTTGTTCTGTCTCTCTGATCTTCCAGTGTTCACCCCAATAACTGGCCTCGGGTTTGATTTTATTAATAAGAACTTTTAAGAATCCTTCTACAGTTGGGTTTTGTGCTGCCCATGACCTCACATCAGCTCTTTGAAAGACCCCAGAAGTGAAAGTGGCACATGGGCAGGGAGTTGGTTCACTGGGATGAAATCAGCGTGGGGAGGGTCTGCAGGAATGAAAAACAAACTTCCACCACTGAGGCTGTCTGTGCCTCACAGCCAGGGAAAGGACCAGGTCCCCGACCCTGCAGATGACAACCCACCTCCCTAGTCAGAGCTGTTCAAGTGCTAGATGGATAAGAGAGAGGATCAAACCCGCACAGACAGTTGTAGACTTCAACAAACAGCCTGACTCTAAGATGTCCCCTTCTCCTCCCTCCAAGAATCATGGATCTCACCTAGGCCTGCCTGAAGTTGGCTCTGTCGGGTGGCCCCGTACCTCCTCCATCCACCCCTGTTACTCAATTGTACCTGGTCCCTGGCTGGATTTAGGAAGCACAGAAAGCTGTAAGTTACTTGACACAACTTTGAGCCTGCCCAGCCTCCTTCCCTACAAGGATGGTGGTCTGTCTTCCCCCAAAACTTCCCATCTTGTGTGTCTCTGAGCTAAACACACTTCAAGATGAGACAAGACTAGAAAAACAGTCCTTTGCTGAAGATGTATGGTTTTGTCTAATATTTAAAGTCCCAACAAATCACAATTCCCATTGGGACCAACGGGCAGACAGAGGACCAAACTGTAAATAAATGTGCAGTCACTGGAACCATTAGAAAGTTAAGGTTATAAGATGAAACAGATAAACCTTGGTCAAAGTCAGCTTGCCTGCAGAAGGCATTTGAGCAATTAAGGGGGACTATCAAATGAGCAGTTTTAAAATTATTGAAAGGTAAATTATTGCAGAAGAGTGAGAAAACTCACAGGGTTAGCCCATCAACAGGCTTTAGATTTCCATTAATTTCTCTTCTGGGAATGCTAGTAGAAACCCCAAATGCCTGGGGCTGTGGTGGAGCTCACGGTCACTCGTCTCTGGAACAGGTGAAGAGGAGTCACTGACATTTATATAGTCAAAGTGCAGCCAGGACGCACATCCCATGGAAGGCAGGAGTATGTGCTTGCTTCAGGAGCTAACTCATGCAGAGGCGGCTTTCTCTCTCTACAGAGCTCAGGAAATGTGAGGGAATTTCAAACATGGTAATCTGCCCACCATGGGACTCTGGAACACAGGCTGTGAGTATTTATTTAATGAGTTTCTGTCTTAATCAGAAAGACCTCAAAAAAGCTGAAGTCCAAATACTTGCAAGCAGGCATTGAAGAGAGTGTGAAAACATGGAAGAGCTCTTGCCCTGTGTACGTGAGTCCTGAGTTCTGTCCCGAGACTACCAAAAAATAAGAGAGAAACTTTTGCTATGTAAAAAAATACATGTTAAGGTAATGCAAGTTTGTCAAAGGACTTGCTTATGCCATAAATCACACAATCTGACAGCAATAGAACGAACAGCCCAAAAAATCTACAAAACTAACTTTGTGTTTCATTTTGTCAATTTATAATAAACAATCCATCCAATTTGAGCTTCCTCTGAAATTTGTAAGTATATGTTAAGTTTTAGTACTTCGATTATGGGTTTTATTTTTATTTTTGAAGAGTTTATCTGGGCTCATGTTTCCAGGGGAGAGTGCATCATGATGGAGGAGGCATGGCAGCCGACAGCAGAGGCGGTGGCGGGAGCGGAAAGCCGAGCGCTCTCATCTTCACAGGCAAACTCAGAAGAAGCAGAGGGCCCTGCTGTGTGCTGTACTCCAGAAAACGGAAAACGAGCGTTCCGCAGTCAGATAAGGACCTAAAAACTGGCAGGCTGTTACTTAAGATCCATAGACCTCTGTGCTGCTTGGGTTTTGTCAATTGACGCAAACCTAAGCATATCCTGGAAGAGGCCATGTTAACTGAGAAAATGCCTCCATGAAACAGGCCTGTGTCTTGATGCGGGAGGGCCCAGCTCTCTGTGGATGGTGCCAGCCTGGGCAAGTGCTCCTGGATGGTATGAAAAGGCAGGCTAAGAAAGCCACGGGGAGCAACCCAGCATGGAGCACTGCATGGCCTCTGCATCAGCTTCTGCCTGGAGCTAATTAATGCCCGGACTTCCCTCAGCAATGGACTATAACCTGTAATATGAAATAAAGCCTTCCCCAGCAAGTTACTTTTTGCCATGGTGTTTTAGCACAGCAATAGAAACCCTAAGACATCTGACACAACTGTGCTGCATGCAGGGATCTGTGGGCATGGTAAGTCACGCTTCCAAGTGTGGAACACTGGGCCCGGATCACTTCACCAAGAGCCGGTAAAAGATGTCTGTGGCACACACAAAAACCCAGATTCCTTGCATACAGAAGATTAGTTGAACAAATCAAATGGGCTCAGTGGAATATGTACCGTCATGAAAGGGGGAGACCTTTAGAAAATGATCTGGAAGGCCTTCAGGCTGAATGACTGGGGTGAAAAATGAAGTGTAATCAAGCATGTACTGTATGCAGTCATCTACGGAAGAAGAGCCAGCACCAGGCAGGCCAGTGGTTCTCCTCAGGGAGACAGTGTTTTGTGGGCACAGATAGGGGAGGGGGAATGATACTAACATCTCACACAGGGATTTGGGACATAGCGAGCTGTGACTTCTGCAGAGGGCGGAGAGACCCAGGCGCAGCTCAGGCTGCCCGTCCAGCGTCACCGCTCCACTGTCTCCCTCGTCCATTGGGGACAAGAGCCTGGGAATCGTCTACAGTGGGAAAGCTTGAATCTGTGACACTTCGGCCATTTGACGCTTGCAGAAAAAATGCTTTTCCACCTTCCAATCTCTACCACCCCGCCCCCTCCCTCCCTTTCAAACAGCTGCTTCTGTGACCTTAAGGATTTCCAAATGTCACAATGAACAGTGACTCAGTTACTTACCCTCCACTAAAACACTGGCACCCTTCACACTCAGCGCTGAGCTGGGGTCTGCCAGGTGGACACAGCCTTCACCCTGGGACGTCAGAGATTAGTGACAGAGGTGGCTCTTTAAGTGGATATGGGAAGCTAAGTGGTAAGCGCAGTGGTAGACAGTCACAGGCGCTATAATAGTCCTGTGACAGTGGGTAAGAAGCTTGCTGTGCCTGTCATGGAAAGGACAGATGGATGGGTAACAGAGAAAGAGGCGGGGGCTCAAAGCCATGTGGTGACAGGTGACAATGTTTGGGTCATTTCTACCAATAGGGGTGGGGACACACTTCTGTCTCCTCTGACACTGTTTCAGGAAAGTAGAATCCAGCTCCACGGCTGAGACTCTTCTCTATCACCATAAACAGCCCTGCCCCCTCTCCCTCTTCTACGCCTCTGTCCTTCCCATCCCAGGCTCCCACAGATACTTAGCCCTGACTCTGGTCCATTCCCCATTGCCTGCGGCCTCTTCCTTCCAGAGTCACATGTCCATCATGGAGGGTCTCCAGCAAAGGGAGGAGAGGAAAACAGTGGAACTTTGTGGGGCGTTTACCCACCCCCCACAGCTCCCCAGAGTTTCCTTGAGTGCGAGCAGCAGGAAATATTAGATAGAAGGATTTATAGCGGAGAATCTTGCGGAGATAAACAGATAGAAAATAAAGGATAGCCTTGAGAGGGCCTGGAACCTTTTCCAACGGGCCCTGTCTCTGCCCCAGGGTTTTTATAGAGATGCTAAGGGGTGGAGCAAAAGACCTCCTCCCCCAGCACAGCCAAGTGCAGACCATCTCAGACACCTGCACTCAGGCCCGTGGTCCTGATCATCCTCCATGCAGACCTGCTGGGTAAAGCCACGAGGAACCTAAGAATGGGCTCCCACAGAGCTTCCTCTTGTGTTTTTCAGGACCGAAACTCATGAACCAAAACTGAATGATGAAAAGAAGTGAAAAGCCAAACTGGGTTCCAACTTACGCCACCAAGGATGATTTTTGCCTGCTACACCAGGCCTACCAAGCCTTGAGGACACCATCCATCCAACCAAGAAGTCCCTAAGCAGGTCCAGTCCCCGAGGCCAGCCATGAAGCTTGGGATCCCAACTTTAAGCACCATTTCCGTGCATGGCGCCCCCCATCCTCTTGTCCTCTCTTCACCCTCCGACTTTCCTTGAGACAGGTTTACTATGTACCCCAGGCTCACTGTAGCTACTTTCTGTCTGTGCTTTCCAGATGCTGAGGTTGTAGATGTATGCCATCAGGCCCAACTCTCCAGCACATTTTAAACCAATTATTTGTGTCACAGAAATTGAATCTAAGACCCCATGCATGCTAGGCACACACTTTATCACAGAGCTGCATCCCCAGCTCCATGCAAGCCCCACCACATGGGGTTTTACTGTTTCTGTTCTATCCTCTCCAACCCCTACTGCCCTTCAGACAATGTCTTCTGTTCCTCGGTTTTTCTTCATATACTGTCTCATATTTCAGACAGCCAGGAACTTCCATGGGCACTATGGTGGATGGCACACAGGCCTAAAGCTGAGCCCTGGCCAATGTTTCCAGACTTGTCTACAAGCTCATCTAGCCACTTGCCAGTCCACTACTGTGCATATTTTCTCTCCTATAGAAAGTACATCACTGGCTTTATCTCCTATGCTGATAGACTCATACTGTGCAATTACATTGGGGTTTATTCATTGCTTCTCATCAGCATATTTCTCCCTATGTCGGAGTGTTCCTTTAGCATGGAGTTAGAATGTATCTCAGAGCCTGCAAGCTCCCCAATTCCCCCAGCATAGCCAGTATCACAGGCCTCTCTCCTCATGCCTCTCATGGCTACCAACTCCACATGTGGGATCTATTTGTATTTATTGCTATGTAATAACCTACCCAAATCTAGGGCTTAGCAGGGTGATGTCTCCTCTCTGAGCTCAGTTAGGACGGCTCATGTAGCTGTAACCCACCTGGAGGCAGGCCTGAGGCTAAGTGAACCAAGTCTCCTTCCTTACCCTTCTAATGGTTGGTGCAGGCTTCTGGTTCCACCTGAACTCTCCAGAAAAAAAGCCACACCTCTGCATGGAGGCACAGGCTTCTGGAAACGTGCCAAAAAGCTCCGAGTGTCTCTGGCCCAGGTGCCACCATTCACAACATGTCACTCAAACAGAGCCGCTTGTTAGTGGTGGAAGCCACACAGAAGGCCAGCCAGAGTCAGATGTGGGCATGTACTTAGCACAGAGGAACAGTGAGAATCTAGGGATGTTTTAATTCCACCTATGAAATGGTCAGAATGTCTTTTTTTCTTTAAAATGTTCATTTTTTGTTATTGTTATTATTAGCTTTGTTTCTCCTAAACGAATACTTTTTCTATGTAAGAAGGGAAGTGGTTCTTTTCCTTAGGTGAAGTAAAGGTTAATCAAAACCTTAGGCAAGAAAATAAAGTGGTTGATGCAGTATTCTTTGGATTAAGATTGAACCTTAATGTCTATTTTGTATAAAAATTTGGAGTGCACCAGATGGTGACTCACACTTTTAATCCCAACACTCAGGAGGTACAGGCAAGCAGATCTTTGTGAGTTCAAGGCCAGCCTGGTCTATAGAGGGAGCTCCAGAACAGTCAGGGCTACACAAGAAACCCTGTCTTGAGAGGAAAAAAAAAGAATTTGGAGTACTGAGATAAAGATGGTTCAGTTCAAACATGATTAACTTGACTAACATAGACCAATAAGAATAAATCAGCAAACCTTTAAACTGTCTTGTCCACAAAGTTCAGAAGGTGTTTGAAAGTGACTATGTGACACCTCCATTGTCATTCTGTCTGGCCTTTGACCTTTGATTTTGGCCTTCCTGTTTGTTGCCTTTTCAGGGGCTTGGAGATTCAGATCCTTGCACAATGTCCCTCCTGGGGCATCACACTCGGACTCATGGAGGCAAGGCACCATCGCATGACCAATGCTCGGTATGAACTTGACAGCCCTGATACTGCACACAGGCAACTTACATTAAAGAATCATATGAGGTCAAACCATGAGTGTACACAGATGTGCCTGGGTGTTGCCTGGGGTGCCAGAGTTTCATTTCAGTGACTTCATTTAAAAAGAGTAACACTTTAGCCGGGTGGTGGTGGTGGTGGTGGTGATGATGATGATGATGATGATGATGCACGCCTTTAATCCCAGCACTCGGGAGGCAGAGGCAGGCGGATCTCTGTGAGTTTGAGGCCAGCCTGGGCTACCAAGTGAGTTCCAGGAAAGGCACAAAGCTACAGAGAAACCCCGTCTCGAAAAACCAAAAAAAAAGAGTAACACTTTATGTGCATGAGTGTTTTGCCTTATGTGCACCACGTGTGTGCCTGGTGTCCACAGAGGCCAGAAGAGGACATCAGATCCCCTGGAACTGGAGTCACAGACAGTTGTGAGCCACCATGTGGGTGCTGGGAATCAACCTGGGTCCTCTGGAAAAGCAGTCAGTGCTCTGAACCACTGAGCCACCTCTCCAGCCCTGTAGACATTTTTACCACCACAAGACCTAGCTCTCCAAGGGCAAGGCCATTTTTCTGATGGAAACCTGCTCTAAAGAGACAGGCTAATTTTAATTCACTCTGATATTTTTCTTGCAACAAAATGACTCAGAGGGGGGAGACTGCACTGGGCCACTGGACCCGGCAGCTAGGGGCTATTGACTCAATTTTGCTTTTGTTGTTCTTTTCTTTCCACTCTGGGGATCAACCCCAGGGCCTTGCACATGGTAGGCAATCCCTTTACTACTGTGCAGCTCCCCCAGGGAAATGACATAAACTTGGGCTGTAACCTAAGACAGTGGGCTATCTGTGGACTAAGGTCCCCAGATGGCCTTTCAGGGATGACCTGATCTATAGGCAGGACACTCTAAGAAGCAAGTTTTTATTCCTTCTACACAGGACTTGAGGTGGTGAGGTAAACTGAGGAATCACTTACAGTTTTGTTCTTCCAACAACTATTTCCAAACACTCAATAATGCAATCATTTACTTAGGAAAACACTCGGATGACAGCCTTCTTTGCCTTGCATTCTGGAATATTCTGAGCTCTTTGGACACCAGGGTGAAACTCTGGTGTCTACATGATCTGTCTTGCTTTCTTCCAAACACGGCCACAGCCCACATCAGCTATCTTTCTGCACAGCCATGCAGACTGGTAGAGCTAGATAGGCCTCAGAAACGACCAAGTCCAAACCTAAACAGCTTATTTCATTAGCAATGGGTATAAAGGCTATGTCTTTGTTTTGTTTTGTTTTGCTTTTCAAGACAGGGTTTCTCTGTGTTGCTTTGGCTATCCTGGAACTAGCTCTGTAGACTAGAGATAACCAGCCTCTGCCTCCTGACTTGGCTGAGGATGTGTCTTGTATCCACCTTTTGGACGATGGACCTAGTATTCGTCCCCTGCTCTCTGTGCCACATTCTACTACTGAGGCAATGGCGCCTTGCAAGGATGAATGCTTCTGCTGGGAGAGATCATTGTTTTTTCATTGATCTCATGACTTCCATGCTCTCTTTCCCCTACAGCTGCAAGAATTATACACATCAGCTGAGAATTTTAATAACAAGAGCAAGAAATCAAATTTCAAAAAAATCTGTGGCACCTCATTTGAGGAAGCTCGCCAACTCCTTGGGAAAGACCTGAATGCCAGACCATTTGACAGTCGTTACGCTGTGAGAAAAGATGAGGCCCTCCCTGCCATGCAGACCCAAGTTAACAAGGAGGAGGAGGAGGAGAAGGAGGAGGAGGAGAAGCCCATGTCCATGGCAGATCTACTTCACTACAGCCTGTTGACAGGCTTCCTGGTCCCAATGGAGCAGCTATCCAGGTCCCAGCAGAGACTGACCCAGGCCGGCATCCCTCCTCCCAGGCACTCTTTCCCTTACGCTTTCAGGACAGACGAGCCCATAGCCACTCCAACACCCACCTTTAGGAAGAGAATTCAAAGCACCACGTTTCACAAACTTCTCCTGTCTTCTGTTGCTCCAGACCGGCTGGTCTTTGAAGATAAATCGATGCGATTCTTCTCCACAGAGCCAGGTAATCTAAAGAGGCGCAGCTGGGGGTGCAGTGGGGGTGGGGGGGTGCAGTGGGGGTGGGTGGGAGGGCAAAGCTTGCTGAGAATCTAAGTCCATTTCCAGAGAAGAATGTGTTAAGCATTGACCTGTGGAAATCTTGCTTGTTCTGGGGTTCATAGCTAATGCTTTTGCTGCCTATGGTGGCGATGAAATAAATGAAGGGTTCTAAAATTTCCATCCTGTAGCTGGGCGGTGGTGGCACATGCCTTTAATCCCAGCACTTGAGAGGCAAAGGCAGACAGATCTCTGTGAGTTTGAGGCCAGCCTGGTCTACAGAGCAAGTTCCAGGACAGCCAGAGCTGTAATACAGAGAAACCTTGTCTCAAGAAGAAAAAAAAATTCCGTCCTGTGAACGGTATATACCTACTCTAGGGGCTGAGGTAGAAGTATGGTTAGTTCAAAGCTAACATGGGCAATTTAGCCTGTGCAACTTAGCTAGAATTAAATTATTAATTAAATTAAATTAACTTCCAAAATAATTAGAATTAATTCTAAGTTAACCAGCATAAAAGTAAATGGAGGGGAGGAGAAGAGGGAGCTGTTGGTCATGACAGAACGCTTGTCTAGCATGTTCAAGGTTTTGAGTTCAACCCGGAGAACAACAAAAGAATAAAGGAAGAGAATCTAGGGCCAGGGCTCACATCTGTCTCTGAGAGGTGACTGTGTGATGAAGCTTGTCAGCTCTGGAAACACCTACCAGTACTTGTTTTCTGCACCCTGGGCTAGTTAGAGTATTCTCTTTTATAATATCCTTAGCTGTATTGTCTTTCACAGTTGTTGTTGTTGGTGTATATGTGTCTGTTTTCCTGTATTCTCTAAACCTTCCCTAATTGTTTTATGTCTTTCAAAGAGGATCACTGACAGGAATACCTTCATTTCTGTTTTTGACTAGTTTCTCTTAGAACACTAGAGACCATGTGAGGAACTTGAACAGTGTGCACCCCAGGGGTGCTCAGTTCCAGGGCTCTAAGTTGCAGCTGGCAGAATGAGGAAGGCCACTCAGCTCATTTATTCTGTCTGTGGAGTGTGCCAATGTTTGATTCTTTCAAAATATGATTCCTTCTAGGAAAGCAGTTCATGGACCTGGTGGACCTGGAGTGGAGGTATTTCAAGGGGCTTGCCAGGTGGGGACGTGTGCCCATGAAGTTTTCATTTATGGACATACAATTCAACAGTGAGAAGAGATTCGTAGAGAGCCAAGGCATGCCTGGGCTTATTTTTCCTCCTCTAGTTCGTAAGACTTTGGTGATTTATCCTCAAATTCACTATCATAAAGAGGGACATTATTCTCTTAAATGGGATGTATAGAAAACCGAAATATTTGGATATGAATTGTTGCATTTAAGAACATTAAATTTATGGAGGAGACAGGAAAGCACCCAATCCATTTTTTTATACAATATCTGTGCAGAGCCTAAATTCAAATGTTCACATGGAGAAAATGCCCACCTGATCTGCTAAGGTTAGCCCTGGTTCACATTTATGACACTTATCTGAAGGAGGAATGAAGATATGAAAATAACTCTCCACCAAGAATGGATCTTTACAGTTTTCTTGCCTGCACAAGTCTCCAAGTTGAAGTCCAGTATCCCACTCCTCTCCAAGTTAAGTGCATAGTAATTCCATCCCATAAAAAGAGTTGAACAACACAACAAATGGAAGAGTTAAAAATGGCTATAGAGACCAATGTGAGAACTCCAAAGTACAGTCTATTAATACTCAGAGAAAGAAAGAAGTAACATCCACAAACCAAGAACAGGATGGTCCAAAAAAGGAACAAACTGAAAGTCTCGGAAGTGAAAATAAATCATTAAAATAGTAACAATAATAACCGACACTCCACCCCCAAAAGCATGGATACATCTGGAGACAGTATGGTGGTCTGAAAAGCTGTACTGACAAGCTTTAGCTATAGATAAAAAAGGGACCTGTGAAAAATCCTATATAGCAAATAGATAAGGCAGAAGACAAGACTAGGAAAGAGGTGATTTTTAAGTCAACATCAAGCATTTTGTTATAAGATATAAAGAAAAGATATAGAGAGGTGCTTAGTGGTAGAACGCTTGTCCAGTATGAAAGAGGCACGGGGGTCAATCCCCAGTAGCAAAAAAGAGAAAATAATAAAATGACACAATTATTCAGAAATAAAGAAACACACAAAGCTGTAGCCAGAGGCTTTTCTGTGTCGTGTGGTTGCTCAGCCCCAAATAAACACACAGAGGCTTATATTAATTACAAACCGTTTGGTCTGTGGCTCAAGCTTCTTGCTAGCTAGCTCTTTCATCTTACATTAACCCATTTCTTTTAATCTATGTTTGGCCACGTGGCTGTGGCATTACCGGTCTGCTGGCGTGTTGCTCTTTGGGCTGGCATCTGCTCTGTTCTGCCTTTTTTCTCCTCATCTTTCTGCTTGGATTTCCTGCCTGTCTATAACCTGTCTGGCCATAGGCCAGAGCAGCTTCTTTATTAACTAATGGTAGCAAAACATATTCACAACGTACAGAAAGACATCCCACAGCATGAGACTACATGGAAAACTTTTGTCATGTCACTAGCAAGAAATTAGAAATAAATACCACCCCTGGCAACAAAGTAGCCAAACTGTAGAACATTGAACATCCAAAGAAGGATGAACTTCACTCAAATAAATAAATTGACAGTGAATCTAATTAGCATTAAACATTGGAAGGCAAAGGTCTCATACTCCAAAGACTGAGGAAAGCCAACCACCACCAGCTAAACTCTCTTCAAAGAGCTGGAAGTTCAATAAATGTATTTAAATATATGAGCGCCTTCGAGTGTTTACTGTCCTCAGTCCATTCAGAACAAAACAGAACTCCAGTAAAGCATGGGCAATAAGAACCCAGAAGAAATGCAGGAAACACAAAGGAATGGTGAAGTATTAATTTCATATGTATACATGATTTTGTACATATTATAATCATATGTATGTGGTAGTATACATCCCAGAATTTAATTTTAGGATGTACTTAGGCTGAGAATGGTATCACAGGTTTGCACACCCAGTGCTCAAGATCACAGGAAAAAAGCAAGAGTGGCGACAGTGGATTACACAGTAAGACTATATTTTTAAAAGGGGGGTGGGTGGGTAGCATGTGACTGGAATCCCAGAACTCAGGAGACAGAGGCCGCCAAATTTTTTGAGTTTGAGGCCAGCCTGGTCTACATAGTGAGTTCCAGGACAGCCGGAGTTACACAGTGAGACTCTGTCAGCAGTGATAAAGCAGCACAGAGTTCTGTGGATTTGCTGCTCCCCAGCCCCACCCTCACCTGCCTTCCTCCCTTCTCCTCTGTTGTGTTTTCTGATGTGAGGTTTGTGTGGCCCTGGCGGGCCTGGCATTTGCTGTGTGGCCCAGACAGGCTTCCCACAGTTCTCTTGCTTCAGATTTTCAGCTGTGAGAAATGGAGGCCCGAGCCACTGTGCTGAGCTGAATTTATTTTTTTTATTTTTTTTTTTCTGGTTTTTCGAGACAGGGTTTCTCTGTGTAGCTTTGCGCCTTTCCTGGAACTCACTTGGTAGCCCAGGCTGGCCTCGAACTCACAGAGATCCGCCTGCCTCTGCCTCCCGAGTGCTGGGATTAAAGGCGTGCGCCACCACCGCCCGGCTGCTGAATTTATTTTTAAGTTTCCACTTCTGTGCTATTTTTGTCTTGTTCATCAGTTTTCATTTTACCTTCGTGCCTTTGATTTTCTTTTTCACTTTTTGAGGCAGAGTCTAACCGTAGCTCAAGCTTGACTTGAACTCCTTCTGCCTCGTGTTTTATACACATTAATTTTTAAAACCAGATCTTGGTATTGAAAGTTTTACTGTCTGTAAATGCTGGGTTGTCACAATGTTCATTTTTAAAAAAACAAAAAACCATCTGCATGCTCTTTTATACTCAGTATGCAAAGTTTTCTGAAGCTAAAAAATCACAGTTGTAACTTTTTTGAGTGTTGTGGTTTCAAAGGTTTAAAAAGTGGCGCACGCCTTTAATCCCAGCACTCGGGAGGCAGAGGCAGGCGGATCTTTGTGAGTTCGAGGCCAGCCTGGGCTACCAAGTGAGTTTCAGGAAAGGCG